CTTTTCTCTAAACAGCTCCCACTCTTTTGATATTCTTCTACAGTAGACTAGTTTTGCTTATTCTAGAACTTTATATAAATGGAATCACACGTACATACTGTTCTTTGTAAGGCTTCTTTCATTCAGCAGTGTTTCATGTTGTTATAGATCAGTACTTTCTTAATATGCTTAAGTAACGTTCTGTGATGTGACTGTATCATAATTCATCCATTGTTTTATGATGGATACATGGGCAATTTTCATGGCAACTTCCTATTGATTATTGCCATTATTACTTACTTTGTATAGGATGGAATAATATCCCTCTTACTTATTCCTTACCCTTAGGTAACTAACACTCTGACTTAGTAAATGCTTACGAAGACGTTTTAAAAAGTACTTAAAATCCTTCTCAATTCCCTGAAATTTAATGATACCACTTCTGTCTACCTTAATCTAAGCCAGTAAGAGATATTAATAAAGGAGTTGCTGAGTTTACATGTGTATCACACATGCTGATGTGTGGTTTTCTTTTTAATGCAAGTAAATAAATTGTTCCTCAGGGAGCCATTGACTGTCATGCTAAGTATATCTTGAGATCTCAAACTCTCTCCCAATCTTTCTTCTAAGTTTTTTGAAACAGCGTTTGACATTTCACGATGGAGAGAGAAATGGAAGTAGGAGGCATTGTATGGTTTTTGGTGGTTGCAGGTAGAGGCATTCACACCGTGACCACCTGCGACAGCAGCAAAAGGTAGAAGATAGGGATAGGATAGAGGAGATAGGGACGTTATAGGTTATAGGTACCTGAAGTCTAGAATTGAAACCCATTTTTGTTACAGGGAGAAAGATAAACTGTTGTGAGTATTTCATTTGCTGATTAGACTATACCATACAGCTTTGATAAAACGGCAGGGTGATCGTTCTTTCTAATTTATCAGATCATCGAGGAAGTCATGATGCATTTTTCTGTTTCTATGGAAAAATGTGACACAACTTTCCCAACAACCCAATATATATGCCGTGTTTTTCGTGTTTTTATCTGCTACGTGTATGGCATACATACTTTGATCTTAAAATATAAGAACATCAAGACTCATTTTATAATAGAAATTCTTTTCATTTAATTTTTGTGATATCCAGGAGAAAAGGATAATTTTAAAAAAATCAACATGGCTTAAGGACAGGCCACTAAGGATATCAAAGAAACATTTAAAATATTAAGACCCACTCTCTGTTTTTTCTTAAGGTATGAAAGTAATACCACTTAATAGGTTAGCTGCTAGCCTGCACTTTCAAAGCACTTTAGAGTCATTCGTCTGTCTGAGGTAGGACAGTATTAGCATCCTTGGTTAATAGATGAGAACCCTTTCCCCCCTGTATTTTATTGTATTTGAGTTCCAGAGTTCATCCGGAGCTCTTCAAACAGTGTTTGTGGTCTTCTGGTGGCATAACAAGATTCTTTTTAAAAGTGGTTCCCTCCCCAATCTCCTAAATATTTCTGGGATATTTTTCCAGAAGGATTTTAAAAATAAGAAACAAAGAATTGTCACTTATTGTGGTAGCAGTGAAAATAGGTTCAAGTTGAAAATTTCTAAGGTATTATATCACTCTTGGGAAAAGATAGTTATGTAAACAAATCAGTAAAATGTTTCGTAAATATTGGCTAAATTCTTTAAGCAAATATAGCTTTAATAAACTAATGTGTTTTTTTTTTCTTTCTGGAAGAGATAGTATAGAATTCTGTACCTGAAATAATTTAATAATTGCATTGTATTGGTCTGTTTGTAGTTAACAAAGAGAAAAGAAACCACAGGTGTTTTTTGTTTGTTTTTCCTGACTTTGTCATCATTAGTCATGAAGATGACATCTCTTCAAATTACTGGTTATATTATTACTTGAATAAGCTTACAGTAACTTTCTAATGTGAAGAAGTAAAGGGTTATCACATTCAGACATCTCACTGTGTCAGTCATTATCTACTTAAAATGTAGAGCATTGGGCCAGTGGGTGGTGTGGAGGTTGAGGCACTGGACTCCCACGTGACCGACCATGGTGTAGGTCTCTCTGTCTCTCTGTCTCTGTCTGGTGAACACGTGTGCTTTGTAGCAAATTAGATATAATAACAGCAAGTAAAACTTATTTTTAAAAATATATGGAGCATCTTGAAGGTAATTCTAAAGCCTGATTTGTTTTATCTTTGTTTACTTACAAGTATGGTTAATCTTCTCGTTTTTGAATTTTTTAAACTGCACAAAATATTAATCATTAGATAGTCTTCATGTATATATCTTCAGCACTTCTACAGAAAGTCATTGTCAGAGAATTCATTTTAATTCAAGGTTAATTAGTGTACCATTAAAATAATGTGTTACAAAAATTAATTACATTGTAGGTCAAAAAAACGTGTTAAAAAGTGCAGCGTGAGTGTCTGAGAGCACATCATCCTTCTTAAAACGTTGCTGTACATGTGCTACCCTTCTGGAAAATATAACCAAAGTGAAGCTCACCACTGAGGTCCAGTCATAGGTGTTTCCCCTAAAGTAAATTTTTGGCACCACATATGGAAAATTTAAAATATAACTCCCATTAACAGTGAAATGTGTTGCTTGCTGCTTTCCCATTGCAACAGCTAAGGATTTATATTTTAGCATTAGTTGATGTAACCCTACTGGATCAGACTTAAGGAGAAATCAGGAACCTGGTTGAGAAGTAGAAATGATCTATCTTGTGATGTAGGTATGAGATACATAGATAACATATTTTCCCACTTAACTGCTGGGTACTACTAACTCTGGTAAGTGCCTCAGGTAAGTATATCACACATCATCTTAACTCTGTAGTGATTCTTGTTAATAGGTTAACTTTGTAGCCATAAAATATTCACTTAAAATTAGAACTAAAGTGGCCAGCAGATGGCTTGGTGGTTGGGGCACAGGACTCCCACATGGCCAACCAGTCCTGGACTAGGTGGCTTGAAAATTAAGCTGGGCACTGTTGCCTGCGTGCCCAAATCCCAGGAGAGTGGAGCAGAAGGGACTGCAGAGTGGCCATCTCCCCCGGGGGTGATTTCTCACTTTCCGTGTCTCTCCTCTTAGCACATATGCCCCAAGGCAAAAACCTTTAAAACAATATTAGAACTAAAAATGATAGAAACTATGCAACTTATCAGATTGTTCTCACGAAAAAGGTGTGAAACAGTTACATTGAACTGTAGACTCTTTTACATCTTGGCGTTTGTTTAAAGAGTCTCATTAAAATATCTCATTGTTCATATGGAAGATTTTTGTTTGAATTAGTGCCTTTAACAACAGTAAGTCACATTAAACATACAGCAATTTTACTAATAATACAGGGAAACTGCTCCGGTATTCAACAATACATTTTTTTTTCCCCCTGGGATTTCAGAATTGTCTCTATTTTTAAAAACTCTTAGTGGGCTCTGTACTATGTAAAATAAAATAGTGTTATAGTACAACAAATTGTGCATGATTTGCCCCCATTTTTGAATTTTCTGCTTCCCTCTCTTTTAGGATTTTGTATAAGTCTATTGGAAAACAGATATTTACAGGGAAATAAAAATTCTACATCAACTAAATGAAAGCAAAAGAAAAGGACAATACGTAGGGAAGCAATTGTCCTTTTTCGTTTTAAAAATAGATCCTGACTTAACTAGTTGAAATAATAGGTGTGTGAAGAGGTCTGAATACTAGAAGACGTGTAGGAGAGGTTTAGACGAGCTTCTTGAAAGGTGCTTTGTACCTTAAAGCCACCCTTGTCCTAGCTTATAGCTATTCAAACCTTTCTAAAATGCACAAAGCAGGGATTTCAACACAATGTGGAAAAACATTCCATTCTTAATAACTGACATCATTACCGCTCTCAAGAGTAGGGTTAAGCCAAACATCATTTGAGAAGAGCCCTTAGGTTTTGTTTATTCTTTGAAAAAAATAGATTTCATTAACTTGACCAAGATTTTCTAACAGCATAAAATAGAAATAAGAAATAATAATAACTGTGAGGTTTTGGTAGACAGGTAAAATTAATATTATATGTGTATCTTCTAATAGTTAACCGTGTATTTATTCCGTTCTACAAATGACTTTTACAGTCCTCTGTTTATTGATAGACACTATTAGTTTGTACTAGCGTTTCTGAGAGCTCTTACAGTGTAGGTTTACAATGTTAAGGGGAAATGGCTTAAAACTGGTTAAATATTCTTATTTTTTGAGAAATAAACGTGAGGAAATTGAGATCTAGAAGATGATTTTTGCCTACATTTTAAATGCTCATTTTTTTGTTTTTGTTTATAAGATTTCTTTTTCCAGAAGAAGAGTTGTGTTTAGTGAGGTATTTAGAAATTTACAAAGCAATTTCTTATGGCTTATTCATTCAAAAAATATTATGAATTTTATTTAATAAAAACTTTATTCAGTTCACTCAGAAAACACTGGCAAAATAAATAATCAATTTTATTGTTATTACTATCAACATCTCCACTTTGTGGGTGAGGAAACTGAGGTTGAAAGAACTCAGGCTAGTACCTGATGGATCCAGAAGGAGAATTCAGTGCTTCCAATTGATTATGTGTTGCTTTTCCCATAGTGTGTTTTTGTATCAATCATTCTTAGAATAGCTAACCTATGATATCACATATTTCCTTGTCTTTCTTTTTTTTTTTTTCTTTTTTTGGAGAGGTTTTTGCTATAGGGCACATGCGCTCACCATAGAGACAGAGAGACAGAAAGCGAGAAATCACCCCCCAGGGGTGACGGCCACGCCACAATTCCTTCTCCTCCATTCTCCTCTCGGGATCTTGGGCACGCATGCACACACGCCTGGCGTGAGTTTAAACCACCGGGTCCAGGACTCGAACCGCGGTCAATTACATGGGAGTCCAGCGACATAGCCATTATGCCCACTGTTGGTCCCTTTCCTTGTCTTTCTTAAAACATTATTTTATCTTTCATATAACCCCACAACCGTCTTAACAAATCATGTATCTTTTTCTGTGTTTTTAGGGCAGAGCACTACTCCATTGGGCTTGTGATCGAGGACATAAGGAACTAGTCACAGTCTTGCTGAAATACAGAGCTGACGTTAATTGTAAGGTAAGAATGATGAAGCGGGCTCTTTTTTGTTTTAAATTGAAGAAAAACTCAATTTTAATTATAGTAACATTAAATGTGCTAAATTAACCATGCTTTATTTTTTAAAGTGTACAGTTCAAGGCATTCAGTACATTTCACAATGTGGTACAGCTGTCACTATCACATAGCTCCACAACATCGTCAACCCCCAGTGGGAAACCCTATACCCATTAAGCAGTCACTTGCTAGTTCTCTCCTCCCCTAGACTTTGGCAACCACTGGGCTTTTTTCTGTTTCTGTGGATTTACCTGTTCTATTGGGTTGCCAGAAAACTCATGATGCTTTTTTCATTAAAAAAATCATGAAAAATACGTCATGACTTTTCCGATGGTAATAGATATTTCCTATTAGTGGAATCATAAAATATGTGGCTGGCTTATTTTTTACTCACTTTCTTTCAAGGTATATCCATGTAGTATGTAACAGTACTTCCTTCCTTTTTATGGCTGGATTGTATGGACACCCCACATTTTGTTTATCCATTTATCAGTTAATGGGCTATTGGGTTGTTTCCACCTTTTGGCAATTGTAATGCTATTATGAATATTTGTGTACATTTTTAAAAATACTTGTTTTCAGTTCTTTTAGTTATGTCTTAGGAGTACAATTTCTGGGTTATATGGCAATTTTATGTTTAATTTTTGAAGAACCTCCAAACTATTTTCCATGGGAGCTACACCATTTTACATTCCCACCAACAGTATATGACACTTTTTTTTTTATTTAATTACTTACCTATTCATTTATTTGTTGTGATTTTCAAGCTGCCAGGCCCAGGACTTGAACCACAGTCGGCCATATGGGAATCCAGCACCTTAACTACCATACCACCTGTTGATACCAGTACTGTTTCTAATTTCAGTATATACTCACCCATACTTCTTATTTTTCTTTTTTTAAAAAACAGCTATTGCAGTAGGTGTGAAAGTGGTAACTCATTACTTTTTTTTTTTTTTTTTTACATCTTTTTGTGTACTTGTTGACTGCTTGTATATTGTTTTTGGAGAAATGTGTACTAGTCTTTTGCCCAATTTTAAAGCAAGTTCTGTTTTTGTGGTTCAGTTGTAAGAGTTCTTTATGTATACTGGATATTAAACCCTTGTCAGATAATGATTTGCACATATTTTCTTCCTTTCTGTGGATTTTCTGTTCACTTTTTTGATAGTGTTTTTTGATGTGCAAGTTTTTCATTTTGATGAGGTCCAATTTATGTTTTTTTTCCCTTTTTTCTTTGCATTTGTAGTGTTATATCTTAAATTGTCACCAAATCCAAGGTCATTAAGATTAACCCCTAGAGGTTGCCCTGTAGCATAGCAGTTAACTGCACAGTGGAAGCTGAATCCTAGATGGCCAACCAGAGTTTGAGTCCTGGTCCCATTTGCTTGAAAATCACACTAGGTGCACACATGCATGCCTAGTATCACGATGGGATAGAGAATCAAAGAAAAAGGATTGTGGCATGACCAACCATTGTGAGGGTCATGTGTGCACTTATGTGTGTCCTCTCTTTCCCCCTGCTTCCTTTTCACCCTCTCACTCATGAACACGTGCCTTCTGGCATTAAAAAAAAAAAAAAAAAAAAGGACCACGAGTTAACATAATGGCTATGTCGCTGGTCCCGGCCCCGGTGGCTTTAAACTCACGCTGGGCACGTGTGCATGTGTGCCCAAGATCCTGAGAGGAGGAGAAGAGATTGCGGAGTGGCCATCCCCCCTGGGGGGGTGGTGATTTCTCACTTTCTGTCTCTCTGTCTCTCTCTCTTTTTCTGGCGAGCACATGCGCCCTATAGCAAAAACCTCTTCGAAAAAAAGAAAATGGGACCAGCAGTTAGCATAATGGCTATGTCACTGGACTCCCATGTAGTCGACCTCTGTTCACGTCCCGGACCCAGTGGCTTAAACTCACGCCAGGCGCGTGTGCGTGCGTGCCCAAGATCTTGAGAGAAGAATGGAGGAGAAGGGATTGCGTCATGACCATCCCCCCGGGGGGTGATTTCTCGCTTTCTGTCTCTCTCTCTCTCTGTCTGGTCAGTGTACGCGCCTTATAGGAAAAACCTCTAAAAAAAAAAAAAGAAGATTGGGAGCTAGCAAGTGGCTTGGTGGTTAAGACAATGGATTCTCACATGGCTGACCATAGTTTGAATCTTGAACCTAGCAGCTTGAAGATCACACTGGGCCTGTGTGTATGTGTACCCCTAATCCCAAGAAGACACAGAAGAAGAAGGGATTGTGGCATGGCCAGCCTCCCTCACCCCCTGGTGGTGATTTCTCACTTTCCCTGTCTCTGACTCTCTTTGGTGAGCGCATGTACCCTACAGCAAAATCCGGGGGAGGGGGGATTTAACCCATATTTTCTTTCTCTTTTTATTATGGCTATATATACACACACACACACACACACTATAATTTACCATTTTAACCATTTTTAAGTATACAGTTCTGTGGTTAAGCACATTCAGTGTTTGCAGTCATCGCCATTACCTATCTCCAGAAAGTTTTCATCTTAAACAACAGAATTCTAGACCATTAAATCCAAAACTCTCCATTCCCCTCTCCCTCCAGCCCTGGCAACTGCCAGCCTTCCTTCTCTCTGTGAACTTGTGTGTGCTAGGTACCTCATGTAAGTGGAATCCTACCATATTGGTCTTTTTTTTTTTTGACTGGTTTGTTTCACTTAGCCTGACATCTTCAAGGTTCATCTATGTTGTGGCATATATCAGAATGTCCTTCCTTTTAAAGGTGAATAATATTCCATGTATTTATTCATCATATTTTGTTTATTCAAATAGCCATCTGTGGACACTTTCTTTGCTTTCACCTTTTGGCTATTGTGAATAATGATGCTACGAAAGTGGGTATACAGGTGTCTGTCCTTGCTTTCAGCTCTTCTGAGTGTACACCCAGAAGTGGAATCGTTGGATCATATGGTAATTCTGTGTTGGGGCAGATTCCTTTGCTATTCATTCAGAATCTTTCCTACTGTTTTTGCTTATTTCTTTTCCTGTGCAAACTTTGAAGTTATCTTCCCAACTTCCATTTTCTCCTAACCACCATTATATTAGAACAAAAAACTGTTGATGTATTCACATCTTTTATTTGGTTTAAATTGTTTGGGGATATTTTATAAGAAAGTGCCTTCAAGGTAGGCATTGTGTAAGGTTTTTCTTTGTGGATTTCTTGTAGTTTCTGATTACCTGTAGTTTTGCTTTGCACAGTTTGAGTGACCCATAGTCAACTGCAGTTTAGAAATATGAAATGGAAAATTGCAGAAATAAGCAATTTGTATATTTTAACTTACTTTGGGCCATCAAGCTCCTTTCCACTCAGGACATGAATCAGTCCTGTCCAGTGTATACATTGCTGTGTACACTGTCTGCTCATTAGTCACTTTGCAGCTGACTCAGTCATCAGCTTGCAAAACCATAGTATATACAGGGTTTGTAACTGTCAGTGATTTCAGACATCCACTGGGGTTTATGGACATAGGGCCCATGTACTTGTGTGTCCAGGTAAGGGGTGATGTCTGCACCCTGTTTGTTTAGCTAGCATAAGATGATCGCAAACCAGCCTTGTTTGGCTTTATAGAGCACTCTTTGCTGAACACCAGCTTTGATGCAAAGTAAAAGTTCCACGTTGGTTTTTAGGATGAATGGGTTAGGGCTGTGTAATTGGCACATTTTCCTTACCCCCTTTGTATTTGCATGATCATTTCATATTGCCCCCGCCTTGGTCTTCTTTCCTTTGCTACTGACAGTTGTAACCTATACTGTCTAACTCCAATTAATAGGGATGCTTTCGGCCTTGTCAGTTTTTTTTTGGAGAGATTTTCACTATAGGGCGCGTGCGCTCGCCAGACAGACAAAGAGAGACGTAGAGACAGAAAGCGAGAAATCACCCCCCAGAGGGGATGGTCACGCCGCAATCCCTTCTCCTCCATTCTCCTCTCGGGATCTTGGGCACTCACACACACGCACCCGGCGTGAGTTTTAAGCCACCGGGTCCAGGATGTGAACCGCGGTCAACTATATGGGAGTCCAGCGACACAGCCATTACGCTAACTGCTGGTTCCCGGTCTTGTCAGTTTTGAGATGCTAACATGCTTCCAAGTGAAAGGGTTTCTGGAGATTAGCTCTCAGAAGAGCTTTCCCCTTGTACTTTCTTCTCTGGTTTTGTTATTGAAAACTCTTTTCAAATACAGACAATAAAACATAATAAATGGGAAGGAAAGGTTCATCTCCCTCATGACTCCCTCTTTCTTAAACAACATTATTATTGACTGACCTTTTGGTTGCCAAAAGGGAAAATCAATTTTATTAGAAGTATTTGTTTGGCCACAGGTCTGGGTACTAACCTAGCACAGACAGGATGATGTTATCAAGTATTTGAAGACTAATTCTGACCATTAGTTTGAAACGTAATACCAGAGATATGTCAGAGTCTGCTCTGTGTTTTCCGGTCATTTTTACCCTTCACTATCTCCCATACATTCTTTCACTGCACTGCAGTTTCTGCATTCTGTAACTGTAATGGAATTGGAACTTGTAATTTTATTTTATTTCTAAGAAAGATCCTTTATAGATTTCATTTGTTATCTGGCAGCATTATGACGCAGATTTGTCTCTTCACTGCTTGTTATTGATTTTTAGTTCTTTTCTTGAAGTTATGTTCTTACCACATTTGAGTAGGATGTGACCTGAACACACCCACACTCTCTTGCACACATACACACGTGGACGTGTACACCTTCTCTGACTTCTTGAGTACCTTTGATTTTTCAAGCCCTGAGGAAAGATTAAAACTGCCCCCTAAGGCATAGTAAAAGATATTCGAGGGCCAGCAAGCAGATGGAGTAATGATTACGTCACTGGACTCCCATGTAGTCAACCATGGTTCGAGCCCCAGACCCAGCTCTCGAAGCTCTCACTTTGGACTCATGTACATTTATACCTAAGATCGCCAGAG